CGAAAAACTGGGAAACTGGAAAACTAACATGCGAAACACAATTCGCAGCTGAAATGAATGCATTTTTGGCATGTGGCTCATTGCTTAGGGCATACACTGAACATACCGTATACAAAAAATTAACAAAATGTAATGTATTGAGTTGCACACACACACACACACCTATTCACATATCAGACGATACACTGTAAACGTAAATCAAAAACAACACATATGCGGGTATACATATATATGTGTGCGTGTATTGTATGTTTATGTTTTGTTGAAATTTAAATATTTTTTACAAAGAAGGTGCAATTAAAAACTTTGTTTGCCACTTCAGGCAATTATTTAAGAAAATTTTAATATTTCACAAGAAACATAAACCGATACAGTTTTAAGCATACTTTGCCTTCTTTAAATCTTCAAATAAACAAAAAAAATATATTTTTGGTTTAAATTCATTGCTTTTCATATTTCTTTAAAGCAACAATAAATCAGTCAACGTCATTTTAACGACGTCATTTATGTCATCGCCAACACCAACACCAGCACCAAATTCAACTCGCACACACATTTCTACACAGAAACATTGCGTTGCAGTCGACACACACACACAGAGACACAGACACACACGAGCACAGATCATCATCTAATATAGCTTAACAGAGCATATATGAAAAAAAAAAACAGATTAACTCACCATTCACAACGTTTGTGGCCTTGCGCTAAAAACATAACGAAGGCTCTCGTATAGGCTGCTGTCGTTGTTGTTGTTGTTATTGGCTTGCTGCTGCTGCTGCAATATTCGCTGCCACTGCCTCTGTCGCTGTCGCTATCGTTGCTGTGCTGTGCTCTGCTGCTATGCATTGACAGTGCGGCTACTGCAACGATTGTCCTTCACCGTTTTATGCAGGCAGGCATAAACAAATGCGAAAAATATGCATTTTTGTTTTTTTTATACAATTCTTAAATTTTTTTTCTTTTTCATTTGCTTGTATGTGTAAAGCATAAATTTTAGTATTGTTATTGTAGTTATCAACGCCATTGTTGTTACGGTTGTTGTTATTATTGCCGTCAGGTTTTGTATCGAACATCAAAGTAAAGTAAAAATGTTATCTAGAAAAATTTGAACAGAGGAAAACAGTTTTCTTCATTGCGAAAACTCCAAATTTTTGCCTTTTTTCATTTCAATTTTTCCATCCTTTTTACTTTTATTTTTTTGATTTTTATTGTTTTCCTGGATAAAGCAAAATGTATTTCTAAAAACACCACAAAGTGGTTTAACACGTTTTCAGCTAAATTGTCTCGGGCATAGTTTTAGGCGCTTTGCATAAATTGTGAGAGAAATGTGTTGTGCATTTTTGCATGTGTTTGAAAAATTACTTTTGATATAGCACTATTTTGGCGCTATTAGGCACAATTATTTGATAGAGAGGAGAAATCGAGTCCATGGGCCAAATATGTTACGGTGGAACCATGAATTTTTGGGATTTTCCGTTTCAATTCAGTTGCGTTTTGTCCATAAATGAATGATCGAAACTATAGAGTCCAAGCTTATTTCTTCAATAAAAAAAAAACTTTTTTAGAAAAAAAAGTTTTTTCAGTTCTTTAATTCTTAAATAAAAAAATTTTTTTGGATATAGAACTCTACAGCAACAAAAACTTTTTTTGGAACCTTTGCATACACTACATGTGACATACGCCATAATATTTATTTTCGAAAAATATAATCAAAAAACGCACAGGTACTATTTTTAAAAATACTTCTCTTATATTGTTTTTAAATGAACTAAACAGTCAGTTAGTTTTTTTGACACTAAAAACAATAATAAAAATAAGTTCTGTAAATAATTTCAATAATTAAATTACTGACTAATTGGCTAAAGGTTGCGGACAAAGAACTTTTTCCTCCAAATCGATACTCAAGTACCATAGATCTTCCGAAGAATTTTTTTGTCAATTCTTCTTGCGTTTACCACTGTTCGTAATTATCAAAGCTTTTGCACCATACAGTAAAATAGACATATTAAGAGCCTAGTAGAGCGTAAATTTTGTTTAGAGAGAGAGAGAGCTTTATTTATCAATTACTCGAAGAAACATCTGTTAGATATTGTGATTCGTGCTTATATATCGTCGTAACTTTTAATAATTATCGTATTCAAACTTTCGATTTATATATTATTTTATTATTTCATGTAAATAAAAAAAAAAAGAAATACAGTTTGTAAGTTAAATTGATTATAAGAATGACTGAAATTTTAAAACTTACTCTAGGTTTCTTCGAATATTAAGTGTGTGTTTAAATAACTTATATATATTTAAGTAACTTATATATATGGTATATATATATATTTAACTTATATTGTATTTAAAATATGTTCCAAAAAATCAGGAGATACTTTTAAAGAGAATATTGGTTCTAGAAGAAAATTTGTTAATAAACATCAAATTTAGCAACTAATATTTAAAATGTGGGAGTTCCTCAAAATATTAAGTCTTTAAATGTTTAATTAAAATATTTATTGACACTATCACATCAGTTCATTTAAAAACTGCCTTAAACCAATCTTGAGGACTAAAGTGATAATTTTAAAATATCTTCCTCCAATTTATCTTAAGTAAAAAAAAATTTAATTTGTTCTTTAAATAATTATTTTCGAAATATACGTGATATGATATACACATTAGACTAACTATTCATATAAATTTATATACATTATTAAAAAATTTGGTCGACGTGCAATAATTTAAACCAGAAACATATATCTGTTTTAAACTATAACATATATAAAAATACAATACCTTTAATGTGCTTGAAACAATTACTAACTGGCATTTCCTTGAATGAAAATAATAATTCTTCAGATTTTTGGTCACTTTAATATAAATATATATATTCATTATAAATAATGTATATGTAATTTATTTATATTTGTATATATATATTGAGAGGCCTTTTAAAATCAAAATTATTTTATTTTTGTCTAACCATACAGATTTAACAGATGTTATTATATATTCACATTAAAAGTATTCATAAAGATTGTATTAAAATCCACCTTACATAGCTGGCTTACAAATTTATATTCATAGTACAATAATATTGTCATATTAAATTGTATTTTCAATCTCTTTTAGTAGTATTGGCAGTTCCATACATGAAATCTTCCTCAGCATGAAGAAGATGAAATTGTCTTTTCATCTTCTTGTTTCTTTTCTACTTGATGAAACGCAAATCAGTGTCTAAACTACCTCAAGTTATTGACTTGGGTGATAGACTGCAAGAAGACCTTTATTGAATTATAATAATAAGTTCGTACTCATCTACATTTACTCCGCCGCTACTTCCTCCCTCGTTTTTTTTTTCGTTCTCCATCTTCTTCCATTTCTTGCGTGCCCTCCATGCGTTATCTACATTTGTCCGACTCTTTAGTGAGAATATGAGGTTTCCTTCTCTTTATTATTATTTTTCATTCTTCATATGTCCGACTCGTTAGTGAGAATATGAGGTTTCCTTCTCTTTATTATTATTTTTCTTTCAAAACGTCCTCCTCTTCTTCGTTTTTTTTCTTGCTCTTCTTCCTGGTACCCTCTCTCCTCTTCTACCTTCTCCTAATGTTATATTCTAACCCTTTCTCTTTAATATTATTTTTCTTTTAAAACATCATCCTCTTCTTCATTTTCTTCTTGCTCTTCTCCCTACTACTCTCTCTCCTCTTCTACCTTTCCACATCTAACATAATATTCTATTCTCCTACTTATACGTGAGGGCACGAGGTTCCTTCCTCTCACCAGGGAACAATTAAAGAAGTATTTTTCTTTCAATATCTTCTTCTGATCGTTTTTCGTCCTTTCTTCTCTTCCTGCTTCTTTTTCCTTCGCCTCTTCTTCCTTCCTCTCTTTTTCTCGTATGTGTAGCCACGTGATGCATAGCTCTAACCTGGAAAGTATTAAAAAATTTGAATTGTTTTTCATTTAATGCCAGTAGTGATTGCTTTAAGTAATAAAGTCTTATAATATTTTGAAAATCGCATAATGCCAATTTATGTCTTTCACTCTAGATTTTTACATATAAATTTACAGACTCAATTCGATAGTAAACGAAATCTTAGCTCATAAAGTCTTTAGTTTTAGAACGTCACACAGCAGCGGATGAGTAAATAATTATGAATTAAAGTGCAAATAATCAAAATTAACAGCAGAGGCAACATAGAAGGCATCATTAACAATTTATTTACAATGTTAATATAAGAAAAAAAAATAAATAAATAAATAATTAAATGAAATGGAAATAAAATAAAAATAAATTTGTTAGTTAAATTAAACGTAAAATAATCGTTGTAGTCGTTAAGTGTCGTTTGTGTCTATTAAAAATTCGTTATTTGTTGTTCGTGTTCGTCGTGCGCCAACAAAATAAAAATATTTAAAATATAATTAAATTTTAATATAGTTAATTAAAATAATTAAATACAATTGATAAAATGATCATGAAATAATTACCCTTAAAATTAAGTGTAAACAAAAATCAAAAATCAAAATAACTCGCTCAAGCGTAACGTGTGATTGTAAATATTACATATAAAATATATAAATTAAGAGAAAAAAAAAACAAATAAAAATATTTATAATAATATATATAAATTATTAATTAATTGCTAGTATTGTATGAATAATGTGTTCATTTTTAATTTGTGATTTAATTAAATTAGTTAAACTTTCTATGACATAAGAATCCTTTTTAAAAGTCGTCGCCGTCGTCGTTCTGTAAGGACAAACGCGCGCCGCACATGAAACACAGTTTTAGGTTAACAGTAAAGTAATTTAAGCGAATTCACAAGCTCCGGCACCCTGTCGCGAAGCTGTTGTATAATTCATTATTAGAATCATAGTTATAAATAAATTAATGTAAAATAAGTTAATGTTAAAAATAATATTAATCACCGTAAGCTAATATCAAACTAAGTGAAAGATATTTGGAGACGCCAAAACAAACACAACACCTGAAGGATCCAACGTTAATGGGCATGTTGCATGCTGCTATCGTTTCAACGACAACTAAATTTTCTAATCCACATAATTTTACCAATCCTAAAACTTTAACTCTCGCACGTGTTCCGTTGTCCAACAGTCCTCTTCCACAAAAGCAGCAACGCGTTCATTCACGTCTTACCGGTTCACTTGTCACAAGCTTTAAAGCTGTAACCTATTTTTCCACACATCGTCCAATCCTTTCCGTACCAAATATACTAAACGCACACAACTACCAACGGCTACGACAAACGCGCTCTTCTCGCATAGTCTACACATCGCTTAGCCGCTCATTCTGGCCGCCTCACATAATAGCGAAAGCGATAATAACAACTCTGTTAGCGGCAGTGGCAGCGACAAAAAGACCTTCTCGTTGCATTGCTGTTGCGTGATAGTCGACATAACGCCAGTTTCACAAGCCGGTCGTTTGACATCTGCAACAACGGCCTCGGGAAGGGATGTGAGCGCTGGCGGCAGCGCAAGTGGTGGTGGTGGTGTACTTGGCGATGGTGTCTCTCAACTGGCGAGCAGCCTATTTCGTTTCGGTAGTAAAAAGCGTGGCGTTTGTATATGTAATGCACAGTGTCGCTTGCAGTCTCTGGGTGAGGGACCACTAGGACCGACAATCAAAACCCACCACGGCTCGCTGGACCGTCTTTTACAACAACAAGACCAGCAACGTCAATTGCAGCCAGCCGCCACCGCTACACGCTCCGTTGGTGGTGTAGTGGGCGGTGGCGGCAGTGGTGCATTACTTGGTTCAGCTGACTCAGATGGTGATGGTGATGATGAAAAAGAAACAGATATGCCACCACCACGTCCGCCATCGCGTACAAAACCACATGCACAGCAAGTTAAGGAAGAATTTGATCGCGGCGTAGAGGTCGAGAAATTTTATCATCAAATTAATGGCGATATTTTCGAAATAACACGTCGTGTACGCGCACGTGATGAAGATACAATTGAGCAAAAAATTATCAAACGAAAAGGTTCAGTACGGCTTCCACCAGAACCACCTCCCCGACAAGCAGGAATGCAGCAACCACACGTACATACACATATTAATGGTCACAAACATCATCACAATCACATAATAGACGAACACAAGCCACAATTACCACCAAGACGTCAAAAAAGTGCTGAAGAGGTGCCTGTATCGAAGTCCTCAAGTCGTGCACCCGATGAACTCGAATGGTTTGATAGAAAAGCACAACAACGACATTCTGCAAGATCAGCTGAAAGTGGTACTGTACGTGAGGAAACTATGGAATGGTTAGAAAAGCAACGTGGCCCTGCACGCACATCATCAGGTCCCAGTGAAATTACTGTTTTGAAAGATGAGGTGCCCGACTGGTTATTAGAGCACTTACCAAAAAAACGCATGATAGCAGAACGTCAACCTGTAGACGCAAAAACCGCAGCATCTTCATATGCTAAAGCTTTGAAAGAAGAACTAACTGAACTATTAAAGAAGCCTTTATCTCGTCAAAGTTCTGGTCCTGGTGAGTTTTCCCTACTTAAAACTGACGTTGTTGAATGGTTAACGAAACTGCAATCAACGAAACCAGCGATACGTGAAGATACCGGTGCTATTCCAAAAACTCGTAGAACGCATCATCGACGGAATGGTAGTGGTGACACACCACGCTCACATTCACAAGAAGATGCTGCAGCGGTCCAACAAGCTACTCGCAAACGTCATTCACTTGGTCATAGCGATCGTAGTGAAGAGGAAATAGCCGACTGGATAGCTTATCCTTTAAATAGACTGCATTCAATAGGCAAAACACCTACACAAACTGTAACAGAACGCCGCACAACACAAACCAGTTACGTTGAGCTACATCACAAGCCTACAGCGCTGCCAATACAACCGATTTGTACTGAAAGGCGTCACCACGAACGTTCACGAGAAAGAAAATTGCGTCATTCTGCCAGTGAAGTTGTGAACGGTCAAAGTGCAGCCGCAATAACACCAACTCAATTGGAACGCTTATATGCTAAACCGCACAAAGAACGTTATCAATATATACCGAAACATAAAGATATGTTACCGCCTCAATTGCCTCCTAAGGAGACTACCATGACCACTGCCGTACATGCGCCCTCCGCCGTATTGTCATCCGTGCCCATACGCGAATCGAAACGCGAACGTTCGCGACGTCATCAGACACAACGCTCCGCGACAGTATCAGATATGTCCGGTAGTCATAACGGTGCACAGAAACGCAAATCGTCCTCAGCCGAACGTGCACCACGCTCACCTTCACCCTGCACTGATCCTACCTGCCCATTACTACCAATTTGCACAGATCCACACTGCCGTTTTCTTGAATGTCAAGTCGCCAACCACGGCTTAACCACTTCCACCTCAACGGTAAATCTCGCTCGTCATCAACAAGTAGCTAAAGCGCAAATGCACACAGTGCCGCCACATGCTGCTTCAGATGAAACACCCACTCCACCACCTCCGCCAACGCAACATCTACAACGTAAGTTAGTCATCTGTCACGAGTGTCGTTCCTGTGCACCATTGTTAACTTGTCAAAATCGCAAGTGCTTGAACGCTGCTAAATGCAATTCACTACCTCGCTGTGCCGCCGACTTCAATCGTTTACGCACAACTCTAGCGCAACCACCACCAACGCTTGACGACATTGAACCAGCACCTGAAACGCCTTCACCGCAAATGCAACGTCATGGCATGCATCATCGTAGTAATTCACAGCCGAACACATTGCAACGTGGTGACTCGCGGGCCGCTCTCTGGCAAGATGCTGAAGTATCTACGGCGACTGCAATTATAAAGAAACATCCGCATAACGGGCGTGTTAATGGCATTGCTCAAAACGGCGCTAACGGTAAACTCATGAAATCGGCCTCCGCTGCTTCACTAAATTCACGTCGACGTCGACATAAAACAGTGCATTTCGGCGAGAATCTCTTGCGGGAGGTGTGCCAGAATCGTAAACTCATAAAAACTGAGCAAGTTCCGTCCGGTTCGGCGCCCATGAAATCCAACATACAAATGCTGTACAATTTCGTGGAGGGCGTACTGAGCGCATGGGTAGACGATGATGAGGATCAAGTGCGTTCCGGCGCCGAGTCCGAACCGGAACATGGCGTTATGGCGCTTAAACCCATACATCGTTGCAATCGCTTACGTTATCAGTGCATTAAGAGAATCGTGTCTGAAGCAGCTGAGCTGCAAGGAACACTTAAACTAGGAAACTCACGTTACCGACACAGGCATTGGCGTAGCACAGCAAAGCAGTGCAACGAAATGTTTCTGCGTAAGGTAAGTAAATACAGTAAATACAGTAAATACAATAAATTCAGTAAATTCCCATTAAAAATGTGATACTAAAAACTTTCCGAATTATTTAAAAAGTTTACAGCATAATTTATACACAACTTACAAAAGTAAATAAGAATATCTTAACTACAGTCTCGCTTGATTAAACACACGAAAGCCAGGGATTACAGCACACAAGGACAATATAATTTTATATTTAGCAATCTCAGTATCCCAGCGACTTGGTGGTACTGTGTAGATTGGCACTACACAGACTGAGGCCAACTCAAGGCAAATGCTGACTCCAAGTCAATACCAACAGCGCACATAATTCAGCTCTGCAACTTAATTATTACAAAAAATATAGCAAGCCAGCATTAAGCAAGAAAAATGTTGCGAATTTTATCATTTTAATCCTGGAAATCGTTTTCAATACACAAAACGTTACGGCACACAATGCCGCACAAATGGCTTACAAATATGGCATGCAGCAACGATTACCAAACCGAATTTCGACTACTTAAGTCCATTGAAGTAAGAGCACAGTGGTGCGACGCGACGTGGCACAGCGCAGCGTAGCGCAGCGTAGCGCAGCCCTGCTGTCTCATTGTAATCCTTGACGAACTTTTCCACTTGCTACAGTTTCTCCTTTGATGTACTTTTACGGGTGGATTGCTCTGCCATTGATTAAGTTACCGAAGTTCTTTGCTCTTTATTGCGTGAAAAGCAAAGCAGAATGGCTGTTGTATTTTAGGTCAAAGTTCAAAGCAGACGGTTTCATTATTTGTAGGGCAAATAGGAGCACCGAGTTGGGGGAACGTGTAGTGTAAAGGAAAAAATGCCATGAATTGTGTTCGCCAACATCGTGAGATAACCAAACTCTTTTGTACACAAAGTTAGGATTTGCCTTAATTTGCGCTTGAAATATTTTCTGTGACATATCAAGTTTACCTGAGCGATTATTATTGCAAATCACAAAATTATTTATAGAAAAATAATATTCTATGAAAATATTTAAAAAAACTTTATCATAGTTTCTCTCTTCAAAGGGATGCGAATGGTTATTTTGCAGTTATTAATAAAGCCTTTGAGTTTTGACGTTGGATGTATGACTTCTCTTTTTGAACGAAAATTTAGACCGCTGGTAAAGTCCAGAAATGTATAGAAATCAAAAGACGTATGCATGTACTTAAAATGTGTAAGTTTAAAGTTATTTTAAGCTCAAAATTGGACAAACACTTTAGTAAGCTGTGGACAGTTTCAAATGTAGTCTACTACCTATACCTATATTCCAGTCAGGTTACCAAGTGTTCTTTTTTTAATTCATTATCACAGTTCTATCCAATACATACTCAATACTATTCTTTAAAATAATGTAGTTAGACAAATGTAGTCCATATAACCTCTCCGAAGATATTTTAATATTGCACTGAAATATATTTTAAGAACAGCAACGGCAAAGCTCAATTCAGTTCACAACGCATATTAAAGCAAACAATAGCCAAAGTGCTAGTTAACAACAAAAACCAAGCGGAAGAAAACAACTATATTTAATATCACAGATAAAACCTCTCTAAGATAAACATTACAAAATATAAGTAAAAGTGCCAACTAACAGCATTAAAAATTGGCAAAACAACAGCAAAAACAAGCACATAATCTAGGAATCACCATTATAAACAAACTAAATACCACAAAAATATTTAACTAACAGCGCAAAAAACAAGCAAACAGCTAGTTAATATCTCTCAGAACTAGTTAATCAAATAACTAAGTATCGAAATATTCAAGAAGGATTATTAAAAACTAACATCGAAAACGAGATAAAAAAAAACCAATAGCAGTAAAGTTGCTGTTAGGCAAACCTTGCCAGTACTAGAGATTTAAAATGTTTCCTGCCAGTAGCAGAAATTAATAAAATCACAAACAGATTAAACAAAAATGCGACTATCAGCGTCAAAAGTCAATAGAGCAGTAACAAGCTAATGCCAATAAAAACTAAAAATTTTAGAAAAATTATCAAAAGTGTCAGCTAACAGCACCATAACTCAGTAAACAAGTAACGGGAAAAATTGTATGAAGAATATCACGCACACAGCGCCAAAAACGACCTAAAGTGCTACCTAACAGCAACAAAAATTATTACGAAAGTAAAGAACTAACCATTTAGCTTAGAAACTTATGCAGAGTGAAACTTAGGCAAAGTGCCAGTTAACTACATTGAAGAATGGTATAAATAGGAATATTTTTTTTGTATTACTTATATATATTAACATTTTTAGTTTATTTTATATATTTAATACACATTTTTTTTTGAATTATATTTTATATATTTATTATTTTTTTATTTTTTTTTTGTATTAAACCACGAATATTATTGACATTAATTGTTGTGAACCATTTTCGAAGTGGTTCGATACTCTGGTTCTTTAATTCTGTCCAAAAGATGAAAGATGAAGAATACCAGCACTAAAGATTAAAGTGTCTTCCTGACAGTATCAAAAAAGGAGTAAATCACGATAAAAATAAAGCCAGAAGCTAGATTTAACAACAACACTTCGGTTTGAAATCCTAATAGATGCCTGCAGGATTCTATTTAAAGTGAGAGGTTCCAATTTAAAATTCAATTCAGGAACAATTTACAGCCAGGATTTCAACCTTTACAAATTTCGTAAATGCATTAATTTAATTTCAACTAGAAATATCTACTTAAAACTATTAAATAAATGTAGAAAATCAATCAATTTGTGCCATAAGTTGAAACCACATTATTAAAAACTCTTCCAACCAAATAATTAAAATGTTGAAATATTGAAATATTGAAATATTGAAATATTGAAATATTTATTTCTGGAATAACAGCAGCAATAAAAGCAATAAATTGGCTCACCAGAAACAGAAAGTTGGTTAATGCCTGTAAAGTCAGTTTTGAAAGCGTTAAATAGGCAAATGAGATCCGTTTTAGTCATTTAAATATAGAAACTATTAAACAAAGTTGTAACCACAAAACTCATCAAAATAATCACGACTAGCAATCAAGGAACACAAAGTTTAGTTTAGTAAATACAAGGCACAAAGATTTGGTGACTCCAACCGGCAAAAATTTTAACAGAATTTACATACCCAAGGCTCCATGAATTCTGCTCCTGCTCTTGCTTCAGCTTCAGCTCTGCTTGAGTAGTGTAAAATGTGGCATATTTTATGCTTTCTTGTGCGCATTGTTTCAGTTCATGGCCAGGAGGAACCCAGAAAACCTTACAGCACAACAACATTGTCAGTGCGATTTTCTTGACCACAAAACTACGAAAGTATGAAACTATGAAGCTATGAAACTATGAAATCCTGTGAAGTTGCACAGCAGTGGAATTAGAATCAGATTCGTATTTGCTTCAACGCATTCGTTCTGACTTAGGACGGCTGGAAGTGCCAAACGATTTTCCATTTGCGTACGTCCTTTCGCCAGCAATGCAGCGTGTAATTTCTCTCGACTGGCAGAGCAGCGCAAAGGAGGCTCGACTTGGCTTGGCTTGGGTTGGCTTGGCGCACACCTCATTTCAAGCGTACACAAATCAAACTGTGCACACACTTGGCCAAAGGATAAGAAATAAGAAAGGATCTCAGGATTTATGTTTCGATTGTTAAAATGTGCAAATGTATATGGTGTGTGCTCTTAATATTGTTACTTAAAGCAGTTTGAATGAATCTGTATTGTTTTGTGCCGAGCTTCCATGCTCAGTGTTCAGTGCAAAATGTATAGCACGATTTTTGTACAAGGATTTATGGACTTTTCACATCCGTTGGGCTTTTTCTTTAGTTTCATGAGTTGTTGCTTTCTTTCATATTTTGTTCTTATAATTTTATTGTTTTGTTTTTTTTATTTTCTGCTTTACTTTTTCAAGCACAACTTTTGTTTTAAGAAGATGGCAGACTTTCGTATTGCTGCCCTTGCCTTTCTCCTTCTGTTTATTTGCACTCCGCAATCTTCGAGCTTGAAATTGTGTAAATAAATTGAAAATTTTCTAAAAGCAACTGACATGTCCGCTTTGCTTCCACTTTGGTTAAGTGAATTGTCATTTCTCATTTTTTTCTTCATTTCTGCACTTTTTATTATTTTTTATTATTTTTATTCGATTTTTTCTCAGAATTTATAGATTTGAGTTATTGCCGAGATAGTTTGTGTTCAATGCGTCTTAAAGCAGATAAGCCCTTCCCTGAAACTATGAACTGCACTGGAATTGAAGCGGAAAAAGTAACTTTGGCAAAATTTCTATTTTCTATTTTCTATTTTCGATATTAAACTTGAGACTTACTCAGCTGTAAACTGTTTTATATTGCCAAGAATTTCAGTATTCGTCGTATACTCTGGATTATTAATCCACTTAATATGTGACAGAACATTTATGTATATAATCTTATTGCTTTTCAAACATTTCAAATTTATTAAATATTAATATGAGTTTTTCTTCTTCTTTTTCAGGTAAGTTTCATGAAAATGTGAAAATATTAAAAACGAAGCCAAGAAGGCTACGGTGAGTTTTCTTTTAAAACTATTTTATATTAAATACGATAAAGTTCAAGTTAAGCTATATATTAATATTTTATTATTATTGTTTTATTATAAAGAACTACCTTCTTTGATGGAATTTATTGTATTGATAAAGAAATATAAATATTTACCTACTCAAAAAATTGAGTAGGTAGAATATATGGCAATGAGTACTTATCAGAATTATAGGGAAATACGTAGATGAATTAAGAGAACATCATCTTTCATCAGTTTGATTGAAATCCATAAGCATTCAATATTTGAGAGGAGAGTTAGAAGTTTCATATTTAGCCAAATGCATTGATGAACGCTATATTTCGCTAGTATTTTGAAGATTTGTAGGTATGAAATAGTGTTATGTATGCTAAAGAATGGCTAGCCGATATGTGTGCAGGTTGTTATTTAAGAAAAAAGTTTAGACGGTGTTAGAACAAAGATTTGCTAAATTTCGAATATGTATTTCTGGCTTTGGCTGAAGTAGGATAATGTAATATTCAGTACAAGTTAATCTAACTTTAGCTAAGGTAAGATAATGTGACCCATTGGACTGTTGCAAACAGTGACCATAAAACAATCCTTTTCTCTAGCTGGCAGAAACAGGTTTTGACAAAAAAAGGTTCTATAAGAGAGGTAACGAGTCTAGACAACATAAATTCATGTATATAGATGATATTATTCTTGCTCTAACTGAGGTGATGTGAACAAAATCTTTTGGTCTGCTGCAAAAAATGATCGTGAATTAACCCTTATTTGTTTGTTAAAGGAAGTACTCTTAACGAGGCACCGAGCCTAGACAATAAAATCGTGAATCAATCCTTATCTGTAACTGATTAAAACAGGTACTGATAAGGAAAGTACTCTAAACAAGGCAGCGAATCAAAACAGCTCAATTTGAAAGATATAGACTATATTACCCTTGCTTTGATAGAGTGGTTAAAATCTGACCAATGTCAATTAGTTTGTGATCCTGATTAGAAAGTGATACTGTCTGT